GGCCGGGGAGCCTCCGCCGGCCCCGGGGAGCCGCTCTACGGAGAGCACCATCTTGGCGCAGCGGCTCGCCGAGGAGGTGCCCCAAGACGTGGCCTCGTTCCTCTACACGGGCGACTCCCGGGAGCTGCGGCGCGCCAACTGCTCCGGGCGGTACGAGCTGGCCAGCCTCGCCGGCAAGTCGCGCTTCACCTCGCACCCCTCCCTGCACGGGGCCCTGGACACCCTCACCCACGCCACCAACTTCCTCAACATGATCCTCCAGAGCAATAAGTCGCGGGAGCAGAACTTGCAGGAGGACCTGGAGTGGTACCGCGCCTTGATCAGGAGCCTCCTGGAGGGGGACCCCAACATCTCCAGGGCAGCTATCACTTTCAGCACGGAGCCTTTCTCCTCCACCCCCCAGGTTTTCCTCCAGGCCAGCAGGCATGAGAGCCAGGTCCTCCTGCAGGACTTGTCCTCCTCGGCTCACCGCCTGGCCAACGCCTCTGTGGAAACAGAGTGGTTCCACAGCTTGAAGCGCAAGTGGAGGCCACATCTGCACAGGAAAGTCTTAAACACGGGCCCCAGAACTTTTGAGAACAGCTGGAAGAGGCGGGAGAGCTTCACTGCTGATAAGAACCACATCAGGTGGTCCTCGCCTTACCTGGAGTGTGAGAATGGGAATTACAAACCTGGCTGGCTAGTGACTCTCTCAGCGGCTTTCTATGGGCTACGGCCAAACCTCCTCCCCGAGTTCAGGTAGGAGTGTTCCTCTGCTTGCTTTCGGTTGAGAAGGGCGTAGGATGGGGTTTTGGTTCTGCCCCCCCTTCTAGGGAAGGGCATGCTGTGTCTCTGGAGTGACCTGATAGCCCTTGCCAGATGAGCTGCTCAGTCACACCGCAGAGCAACCTCAGGCCTTCCTGTTGAGCTCTGCCTTCGCATGCCTGAGGGAGCTGTTGCTCAGTAAAAGAATCACTTTCATCTCTGTCTGTAAGACAGCGTTTGCTTTATCTGCTCCAACTGAAACAGGTGTGCATGGGGTTCTTGGCATCCTTCTGGGGGGGAGAGGAGAGCAGCAGTTGCCAGTTGTAGTTCATTTCTGACTGCAAGAGGAAGATGTTTACTGAGGCGTTACTTCTTACTACACTGCATAATTAAAACTAGCTCGACCCCAGCTATGATTTTAACCAGCTGGGAAACAATGTTGTTATGCTGGTAAACTGCTATTTCTGGTCTCCAGAGCACATCCACTGTGGGATGCTCGAGCCTGGTTAGTGGTCAGTATGTTTGTAGGTAAATAAGTGTTTGTGACTGCAGTTCTGTCATAGTGCATGTGGCTACAACCTGAGCTGGCAATAGGAAAGCTTTTCTTAGGACACCCCTGTTACATAGTTGTGTAGCTGATACCTGGCATATATAAAGAATTGCTTACTTTTTTCTTGCTGTTGCTCCCAGGACTTTGCAACTGTGCTGTGATTAGCAGAGTGGAGGGTACAAAAAGACCCATTGTTTTGTCTTCGTATTTTGACAGCAGAGGGGTGTGTCCAAGGAATGAGAGCAACCTGTGGGGCACGGGATATCAGTCTTTTCCCACTGGCACTTCTGTGCTGGGGCTCACAGGTTACTGCCCCTCAGGGAATGCCCAGTGCCCAGAAGCAGCTGGCATTTGTCAGGAGGTGAGAGAGGAGCACAGAATTTGCATTCTGCTGCAATTCAGTAGTAGGTAAAGATAAACAAGAACACAGCAGGCACCAAAGAGATTTTGCCACACCTGGGTGGCCAGGCAATTGTGTATGTGAACACTGGTTTCCTTTTTTGAAGGATTGATTTCTGAAATCCAGTGGGATCAAACAGGTATGAATGCAGTTGTGCATCCTTGGGGAGAAAAAAATAAAAACTGCTGAATAGAGAGTAGCTAATTATTTCTCTGTGGAATTACCTTTTGCCCTGCAATCCTCACACTTATGAGGCTGGTAGGATTAAGATAAAGTGAGCTCACCTGCAGGCTGTTTGTTTCTGAATTCCTCTCAAGACCAAAACCCAAGAATAGCTCTACTGCAGAGCTCTTCTGGACCCTAGTGCGGGTGGTGGGGTGGTATGTGTGTCCAGAAAAGTTCAGGAAGCTTCTTGTATTTCATTGAAATGCAGTGTTTCACACTGGATGAACTTAAGGATGTAGATGAAAGCTAGTGTAGGCTGATGCTCTCTTGTTGGGGATACAGGTTCCTATAACCTAAAGAACCACCAGGCTGGGGGTGGGGTGGCAGCCACTAACAGGCTATCTGGGCACTTAATTCTTGATATAAAGCTTAACTCAAAAGAAGCTTTGATCTTGACTTCAGTTAAGAAAAACAGATTCTTAAACAACAGAGTCTAAAGCTTCATCCTCAGTTCTGTGCGAAGATCCTGTGATGCCAGGAAGCATCTCAGTGGTGTAGGTTTCTGCTGTGGTAGCACTGGTGTGCTGAACACACCAGGTCTGTTTTGGAGTAACCCTGGCCAACTAAGGCAACCAGTAGAGGTCCTCCTGGGTGCAGTACAAAGCACTGCCTTCACTTCATCTTCCCAGCCTCTGTTTATGCCTCCCTTTATGTTTTAGCCTCCCACCATGTGGGAGTCACTTCAGTTGAAGAAATAGAATAACCTGTTGTAACTCTGATACTTTAAAGGGCGTCTGTTAAGCACATCTAAGCTTGGAGAACCTCTTCTTATTTAGAAGATCTTGCGATGGGGTATGTTGTGCAAGTTCAAAGTTTTGTATTGCTGTTGTACTGAACAGTTAGGACAAAACTAACAAAGTTTTGTTGTATCAAAACCAGAGATGAGTTGGTAAGCATTTCTAAGAAAATGGGTCAGTATGTTTTTGGTAACTGTATAAGGAAGCAGGTGGAAGAAGTATATATTCCTGGCAAGGCTAAATGATGGTTCCTGTGTTCCTAGTTTGAGGTATGTTACATGAAAGACGGGCTTCTAATAAAAGCTTATTATTTGGGATATTGAAAAAGAAACTCTGTAGCTACATAGAAAATACTATAAACAAAATACACTTCTCCCAGGATTTGTGGGATGTCTCAATATTTGCACAATATTTTTCTATACTTGATAGGCCTCAGTGTGAGTTCTTAAGAGAAGAAATGGTTTAAAGTATAAGCATGTAATACAAAAATGTAAAATCTAATGTAGTTATTAGAACATTAGTATCAATTATTATAAGGTGCCTCTTGAAATAAGCTTTATTTCCCCTCACCATCTGTCTTTGAGTGACACAATGGTTTAACTTTAAATTCCTGTTTAAGGCCTATATGGTAAAAAGCAGTATGTATTAACCTCCATCTTTTGAGAAAGCTACATTGGTTCTCCCAATAAAGTATCTCTGAACCATCTGTTAGGAACATGTTAATGGATCAGTTTACATGCTCCTTCCATTTAATAGTCTGGCATGAGGTCATTGATGGTTGTCCTGGTTTCGGCAGGGATAGAGTTAATTTCCTTCCTAGTAGCTGGTACAGTGCTGTGTTTTGGATTTAGGATGAGAACAATGTTGATAACACACTGATGTTTTAGTTGTTGCTAGGTAATGCTTACACTAGTCAAGGACTTTTCAGCTTCCCATGCTCTACCGACTGAGAAGGCTGGAGGTGCACAAGAAGCTGGGAGGGGGCACAGCCAAACTGGCCAAAGGGACATTCCATACCATGTGATGTCATGCTCAGTACATAAACTGGGG